CCTGGTGCCAGAAAGGGGAGCCCTGTAAACTCCTTCTGACCAGTTGTCTGAAACCCTCACTCTCTATTGGTTGAGAAGTCTGGAAACTGCCACTACTGTCACTGAGTCAGTTACTCCCAAGGTCTGCACTGGCATGGCCTGTGCTAGACTGTACTCCACTCTCACCCTGGTGCAACAGATCTTTCCTGCAGACCTTAGTTGTCTTGTACTAGAAAATTGTTTCACTCCTTCCTTTCGTGGGTTCTGCCACTCTAGAATTTGTTTTGAGGCATTATTTAAAGTTATTTGGAGGGGTATATGGGACAGCTCAAGCAAGTCCTGGCCTTTTCTTAGCCATCTTGGCTCCACCTCCAAAGGCATGCCAGATTAACCTAATTTTAGGAGTGTACTTAAGACAGCTCATACATTCTACTGGGAGCCAATTATGAAATTTTCAGTGTGAACATTTACACTTCAGAAATCAGCAAATACTACCAATCAGAGCTTGACTTCTTGTTTTGTTGATAGTTTAGACTTAAGTGATAGAGAAAACGTTAATAAATCAGATTAAACTGAAAAATGTATTAGACATAGAGAGCTAGTTGTTAAATATTTACAAGCATACAACTACTTAGTTTCCTTTTTTAAATGACCTTATTGGACTACTAGATCAAACACCATTGACATGGTATAGTCTACTTGGATTTCAAGAATGATATGTGACAAAGTCTCTCACTGCATCTTCATGGATAAGAGGGAAGGAGAATTGTGGGCTGGTTGATCATGCAGTTAAAGAGAATTCAGAGCGGTAGAATGAGAAAATGCTAAGTGTTTGATTAGAGAATCAGTATTAACTGGAGAAGATGTCTAACAGTGTTTTTTTTTTTCCCTTTCCCTAAGAGGTCTATCAATGCCATTTTTCTAATATCACTGTCACTTCCAAAAAAATTCCCCCCCCCCAAATTGTAACAATTACAATAAATGAAAACAAATAAGTGTGTCTGGTAATATATGACTTATAACATCCCTAGTCTCATACCTCCCTAGTGAGAGGTGGGAAGCATGCTTCACTGTCACTTTACTGAAGTCATAATCAATCATTTTGTTAATCAGAATTTTGAAGTCATCCATTGTTGTTTTTCTTTTACATCATTGTGGTTGCTGTCTAAATTGTTTTACTAAGTTTGCATACTTTATTGTGCATCAATTCATATAAGTCTTCCCAAGTTTCTCAGAATTCTTTATATCTGTCGTTTCTTATAAAAGAGTAATATTACATTATGTCCATGCACTACAATTTGTTCAATTGTTTCACAATCATTGGGTCCCATTTTCCTTCTAGTTCTTTGTTACTACAGTATTACGATAGATATTTTTGTGCATGAGAAACTTTTCCATCTGTCTTTGACCTCTTTCCTATAAGGAGATTATGCTTAGGAGTAGCATTCTAGGTCAAAGGGTATGTTCAGTTTAGTGACATTTCTAAGTATAATTCCAAATTGTTTTCTAAAATATTTGAAACAGTTCACATCACCAAAATAGTGTATTAGTGCACCTATCTCTTGCAGCTTCTCCAACTTTTTTTTTTATCATTTGTCTTTGCCAGTCAGATAGAGGTGAGGTAAAACCTTGGAGTTCTATTAATTTATTTTTCTCATTATCACTGATTTGAAGCATTTTTCATATGGCTTCTGTCTAACAGTATTCTTCAAGGTTGTCTCCTTGGCCCTGTTAGGTTCGTCATTGTTATCAATGACTTAGGTGAAAACACCAATGGCGTGGCTCTCAAGTTTGCAGGTGACACAAAGAAGGATTGCTAACGTGGATTATAGAATCAAGATCCAAACATATGTCCACAGGCTAAAATGATGGGAGAGTGCTAAGATGATGACATTTTTCTTATTACTTAAAAAAAATCCATAATTTTATCTGTATAGACACAACTTTTCTGTGCTTTAATAGACGACATTCGTGAGTTGCTGTGATTAAGAAAATCCATAACCTGATGATCAAACTTCTAGTTACAAGCTTCTTTGAACATAGCAAAGCTGGTTCTTAGGGGACAATTTCATTAACTTCAACAAGCATATATTGAATGCATGCCATGTGTAATGCACTACACCCAGCACTGTGGATATGATAGAAAAAAATGAAATAAAATGGTCTCTCAAAAGGCTTTCACTCTATAGAGGGCACAAAGCTATAAGTACATAAATAAATAGAAGATAACTTTATTTTGTCAGCCATGTGAAGGATGTCTTAGAGAGAAGAAACTCTGAGTAGGAGGCTATTGCGATAGTAACAGATGACAAGTGATGAGTGCCTGAATTAGGGTGGTGGTCATTGGGAGTGAGGGCAAAGCTATAAATCTGAAAGATTTTATGAAGAGAAAATTAACAAAACTTGAAACTGGCTAGACAGAGGGAATAAACAAGAAGAAAGAGTCAAGGATTACTCTGAAGATTCAAACTTAGTTGACTGGAAGAATGATGGCACCTTCAACAAATCAGGAAGTTGATAGAAGAAGCTCATTTAATAGGAGATAAAGTTCTGTTTTGGACACGTTGAGTGGGAAATGCCTTAGAGACATCCAGCAGGTCATTGATACAACACTAGAATTTAAGAAAGAGATGTGGCTAAAATGCAGATTTGGAAATCATTTGTGTAGCTATTATAGTTGAATCCATGGGGGAGGATATCACTTAAGAGAGTAGGTATAGAGAAAGAAAGGGGTTCAAGAGAGAGCCAGGAGAGATTAGGGGGTAGGAGATGGATGGCAGTCTAGCAAAGATGACAAAGACAGACTGAGACAGGCAGGAGGAGACATGCAGTTTGTCACTTGGTCCATATTAGAAATCTTTCCAACTTAGTAGTACCTTATGAAACTTGTTCTCTGTTGGTGTAGACTTGGGACACCTTGTGTTGTAGACACAATAATGTATCAGAGTAAGACTTCCATAGAAAATGTAATGAAACAAGTTGTGTGTGTAGCGGTTTAGGATAGGGTAGGGAATAGGGCGTTACATATACAGTAGGTAAATGCAAAGACCTGCACTTGGATTGAAAAAAAAATCAACTGCACAAGGGAGGAAGGTTAGAAAATAATTTAGATGGCAGTTTGTGTGGAAAAGACCTGTAACTGTTTGTGTATTGCAAATAATGTAAAATGGCAGTCAAAAAGGCTCATGTGATCATAGTAAGGTGGAAAGAGTATTGGACTTGGAGTTGGAAAGACATGGCATTGGGAGCTGGGATACTTGTGGAACTGAGAAGACTTTGGGTTAACTCTCCAGGATACTGTAAAGCCAACTGAAACTGTTGTGAGCCATAACGTCATGCAGTACATCTGGGACAGGTCGAATTAACTTTGCTTCCAAGTGGATCGATCTGCAACCTGCATGTGAGACCTTTGGGAAGGAGGATGTAAAATAAACTCTAGGACTCTCACAGGAAGTTCTTCTTGGGACCCCAGAGAACTTGCTTGCTCATTTCTTGTAATCTTCTTGCCTGTGGCTTTTCATCTGCTTTTGTCTTCCTCTGAACTGCTTTTTGACTGTTTTTTTTTTGTTATTGTTGCTACTGTTTAGTTGTTTCAGTCATGTTTGACTCTTCATGACCCCACTGGGGTTTTCTTGACAGAGATACTGGAGTGGTTTGCCATTTCCTTCCCCGTTCATTTTACAAATGAGAAAACTGAGGCAAACAGGGTTAAGTGACTTGCCCAGGGTCACACAACTACTAAGTGTCTGAGGCCAGATTTGAACTCAGAAAGATGAGTCTTCTGGACTCCAGGACTGGCGCTCTATCCACTGCTGCTCTTAGGGACTAGTTTTACCTGGAAGCACTTGAATATGTTTTTACTAAAGAGATTATCTGAACCCTCAGGTTCTGAATGATATGATTATGACTACTACTATGACGATTACATTACTACTTCTTCTAATCTTCTTTTCTTCTTCTTCTCGTTCTCCTGGTAATAATAATAGCTAACATTTATGTAGCACTTAATAAGTGCTAGGCACTGTGTTAAGTGTTCTGCAATTGTTATCTCATTTGATCTTTGGGTGCAAATTCTGCTTCTACCACCTACTAATAGCATGACCGTCAGCTTGTCATTTAACTTGAGTTTCAGTTTCCTCACCTGTAAAATGAAGATAATCTCTGGAGTACTTGTCTCCCAGGGCTGTTGTGAGGATAAATAACGTAGTGTAAATAAAGTATTTCATAAACCTTAAAGCTCTATATATCATATCATAATTATGTAGTGTCCAAAATGAATTAACCCATTTAGCAAGCCCTCATTCAGCACTCTCTCTATGTCAGGCACTGTAACAGGCTCTGAGTATACAGAGACAACAATGGGTGTTATTAGAACTCTTCTGCCCTCTGTCCTGGTCAGGACAATGTGGTAAATTCGTCTTCTGGATCTTCTGAAGAATGGAATGCTTCAAAAATGGAATGGATTGTCATAGAAAGTAGACAATTCCCCATTACTGGAGGAGGGAGTCATCTTTAAGCAGAGGATTATGGTGATCTCCTGGATCACATCGCTTCTTTGTCCCCTTCCACATCTACTCTTTCATAATTCTATGATTCCCTGATAGATTCAAGGGAAGAGTGACTTCAGGAAAGGTGACTAGTTAGAAGACTACTGCAGTTCTCCAGATGAGGAGTAGTAAGGGCCTGGATTAGTGTGGAAACAAGGGGAAGGGACGTAATTAATAGACACTATCAAAGCAAGAATCCAGGTGACTTACAGGATGTGAGGGGCCAGTGAAAGTGGAAGCATCAGAAAGGATTCTGAGGCTTTGAGTCTGACTAGGAGAATGGTGACACCATTAATACATACAGAAGTAAACAGCTTAGAAAAATAAATGGAAGGATCAGATCTATCAGTGGAAGTACTGGCATCAGACACACTGAATTTGTTGGTGTCAGATCATAGAAAGATCATACAGAAGTGGAATTCAGAGAGGTCAGGCCTGCAGAGGTAGAGTATGTGCAGCAACTCTATTACTTACCTGGGTCTTAGTGAGGGTTTCCTTAAAGCATAGCTTCCCTTCTTGAGGAAGGCTAAGGCACTTGGAAATTGAAGATGAGAGGGTGATTTCTTAGCTGTTCCCACTGGCTTTCCTAAAGGGAAAATACAAGTGTTATAGGATTTTGAAATTTGAGAAATCCTATATTTATACAAGAATGGTTGGGTGAAATTGACTAAGTTAAGGTTTATCAAAAGGAGAATGACGAGGACTGAAGAGGACAGGAGTGAGAGATGATGGGAGAGGCATGGCACCATGGCATCATCACCAAAGAACAAGAAATCTCCAATGGAGAAGAGGTCTACCTATAGTCACAAAGGAATATGGAAACAAGCAATACAGAAAGCAATTTTTAACTTGGACCACTTCTATCTATCTTTTTCTCTATCCCTATTTGCATAGGGAAAAGGAAGACTGACATCCCCGGCTTCAAGATCAAGATGGATAGAATTTCACAGTCCACAGATTTGGTGGCCAACTTATTATAATCACAATTCTCAATTAATTAAAGTATATTTAAATCCATAGAAGACCTTATGTCCATGATGACTACTCTAGGTAGGTGCAGAGTAGGGAAGACAGGGTATCTTTCCCTAAAGCCATTGCCTCCATCCAATGGTCCTCTGAAACAAAACATAGCTCCACCATAAGCTGACTTCCTTTGAGTTTGGTACTCCCTTTCTCCTCCCTCAGGATTTAAGCCTTATTTCCTGGAGTATATACACTCACCTGAAATTATGGGTTTCTTTTCATAATACTTCCTAAAGTCTTCACTTATTCTTTCTATGGCCAGCTTTGGGTTCTTCCTGCACAGCTCTTCAAAGTTCATTTTCCCTGTGTCTGTCAAAGGAGGAGAGGATTCGGGGGACAAATTGCTTACCAATAATGAGCCCAAAAGTTGACTGATGTTGGCCTGGTGAAAATTTTCCATTAAAATGCATTACATATACATATCTGTATATGTATGTGTTTTATTTAAACATGATACCACGTTGGAATGGTATCATGCATCATGATACATGTGGGCCCACAAGGGCCTCTCATCCAAGTTAGAAGTAAGGGACAGAGTCCAGAGACCTGCTGGAATTGAAGCCTCTGCTCCTCAGGAACCTACAAAAATAATTACAGATAAAGGGCAAAGGGCCACTGAAAGAAAGAATGTGAGGATTTGGAGCTGATTCAGAAAACCACATTAATGTCTTAGTTCACAAGAGGTTTCAGATGATTCCAATACTGTGGCATGACTCCCTCTTTCTCACCTGACTGTGGCTCCCAAGCACAGAGACTAATGACTTTACCTTCCTTAAACACCGAAGGCTGTAGTTCCAAATGGAGAGATCCTCCTCTTTTCATATCCTGAGTAGCTATCATTTGCCAGTGAGTTTCTGTCAGGGCTTCCATGTCTTCCAGGGTGGACAAGGCCAGGCACAACCCTAGGGATTCCTGTATTCTCTTACACAATAGAATGTACTCCAGGCTGTCCAAAGGTTCCTTGGCTTTCTGCCTCTCGATTTCATCACCACTGGTTTGAGACTAATAGAAAGAGGTAGTGAGTTTGCCACAAGAACCAGAAGCAGTTTCCTTCTGGTTCATCCCTCCAGGCTGACACGTGCCAATTGGTGTCAAAATTGAGAAGAATAATCCCTCTTTGTATAAGTTCCCTCTACTACTTCCACCTCACCATTGGACCCGGTTCCTATAAGAAATGAAATCTTCCTGGTCTGCTAGTCTGTGGAAAGAAGTTGGGGCCAGGTGTGGATGGATGGGAATTATTTTAAAGAAAGTGAGAGTACTCAGCTTCTTTTATGCTGGACACCATGACCATTATTCATCCCTGAAGCATAAGTGGGTGTCTCAATACCTTTTGTTGAAACCATAAAAATATTAAATTCTATGTTGTCAGATAGTCCGTGGCAGAACAACCACCTCCTTTGTGCAAACACTCACAAGAATCCCCCAGTACCTTCTCCACCCAGTGCCGACCCCTTCACCCCTCCTACCGCAAAGATGAGAAACCAGTGGTCATCAAGGTCGAGGAAGTCATCAAACAAGGAAGCAAGAATCTAAAATCCAAACACAAAATATCAAGTATTGAGACAAGTGTACTCTCTGGCCCTCTAGGGCTTAAGTTCATCTGGGATAATAATAACAATAATAAGAATAAGAATAAGAATAGTGACTGCCAACATTTATAAGGTGCTTGACAATTTACAAAGCACTTTGCATGCATCATTTCATTTGAATAAGCTGTTTTCTTCAGGAAACTCTGAACTGGAAGAAAAACTCAACAGTGATACTCGACAGACAATACCAGCCACACCCATTCCTTTGCCTCTAGGATGATACTTCATTCTGGAAGTCTCTGAGCCTCAGCTAATTACTGTTTACATAAAGGGTGTCATTTTGTGTAATTTGCTGAAAAAAATAACAATAAAAGCAAGTCAGAGTTTTGCATGTGTGTGATATCAGGGTTGTGTGAGATTCAGAAGAGAAGATGCACGTTTTAGTGTCTAGTGGACTTGGAAGCAGAAGCCTTAGGTTCCGGTTCCATTGCTCACACTTCAGAGAATCATCGAACGACACAGTTGGCTAGTTCAACCCATCTCTGAACCAGGATCGCCTCTGTAGACTACCTGGGAAATGGCCATCCAGTTTTACTTGAAGATCCCTAACAAGGGGACCACACACTGCCTCTGGCAGTAGCCCTTTCCACATGGAGAGAACTCAGCTATTTAGAGTTTTTTCCCCTTATACTGAGCCCAGATTAGTCTCTTTGTAATTTCCTCCTACTGCTACTAATTTTGACCTGTGGGGCCAAGTGTAACTACAAGAGAGCCCTTTGAATGTTTGGAGACAGCTGTGTTCGCTTTCCTAAATCTTCTGTTCTTCAAGCTAAACATGCCCTGCTCCTTCAGCTGACTCCCATAGTACATGAACTTGAGGCCACAACTAGGTGTTTGGTGTAAGCAATTTACTTGAACTGTCTGAATGGCCATTCTCCATTTATAAAATGAGGATAATATCAACAATGTCTATCTCACAGTTGCAAGGAAAGTTCTTTGTAAGCCTAGAATATCTTATAAAAAGGGAGCTAGGCCGAATGTAATTGGACTGATGACTTTTTTTCCCTTCTCTATATCTCCAGTGCTTAACACAGTGCCTGGCACACAATTAAGGGCTTAATAAATGCTAGTTGTCTGGCTAAATGTGAGAGCACTTTGTAAGTGTTTGATACACATAGGAAAGACCAGTACACTATTCATTCAATAAACATTTATTGAGTTCTTATGTGCCAGGCACTTTGCTATGCACTGGGGAGATTTTAAAAAATGATCAAGACACATTCGTTGCCTTCATGCAATGTGAATGAATCTTCCAGGGATGATAAGGCATTTACAAATTTGCATTACAAATGAAAGTAATGCAAATAAAATATGACATCTTTATGAGACAGGATAAACAAAGTGCCCTCAGTTCAGACAAGGGAGAGATTACTAACAGCTGGAAAAAAAGAGGAAGGGTTCAGGGAAGAGGTGACAGCATACCACGACATGAAAGAAGTCCTAAAGAAACAAAGAAAAAAATTATTCCAATGAGGAAAAAAAGGATATGTTAGGCTGGAAGTTAAAGAGGCCATGGTGTTTGCACAGGAAACTCTTGGAACTACTTAGATTCTAAAAGACATTATTGAATGCAGCTAGCTATGAGCTGACCTTGCCCAAACCCCAGAGCTGCAAACTGCCTGAGAATGGTCCAAACCAGTTAAAAAACAACAACAACAACAACAACAACAAAAACAACTGGTTGCACCTGGAGCCCATTATTATGACTGGATATTACCACTCCCTAGCCATCCCAGCCTTTGCTATATAATATATATAATAACAATATATAATACAACTTAACCCTCCTTGTTGCTGCCCCTCCCAAGCACTCCTTCCTGCTGAACTGTATTTAAACCCTGCCTCTTCTGCCCCTTGTGGGCACTCCTACACTCTGGTGCTGTGTGGTGTCCTGAATTGCAATTACCTTACCTCTGTTAAGACCGTTGTTGTTGCTACTTTGGTAGTCCTCTTTATTTCAGGTTGACATATCTGATGTCAGAAATGGAATCTGAAGACCTCTGCCTGGCCCTCCTTTGTTTTCAACCATGGGTACCTGGTACTAGCACAGGACCCCATGTATCCAGTCTGGATTTGATTTGGCAGTCCAGCTAGGGTGCATCATGATCTCCTGAATTTCTGAGCTCCTATCTCTTTTAGTTGAGTTCCTGGATCTTTGGTCAAGGGTGTGTTGAAAGACCCATGGGCAATTTTGGTCTGTTCCAATAGGTCCCTAAAGGGATGGCTGCCAGGTGTGTTTTGTACAGAATGCTATTTGTTTTAAATGTAGGGGGTGTGTGTGTATGTGTTGTGTGTGTGTGTGTGTGTGTGTGAGAGAGAGAGAGAGAGAGAGAGAGAGAGAGAGAGAGAGAGAGAGAGAGGAGAGAGAGAGAAAGAGAAAAGAGAGAGCACACATGGGCTCTGGCGACAACTAGTAAGGACCAAATTGAGAAGAGCAACGGGCTTGTGAAAAGAGGTGGTAACTGAAAAGCCTCGCTAGTAAGGGAATACTGGGGCCACGGTCTCACAATCTGTAATTATACACATGGAGTTTGGAGAGAAGATTTGTTTGTTTTTGGTTCTTTAAGTCTTCAGACCAAATTTCTCTTTTTCTTTGTATTTCTGAAATCTGAAGAAGCTTTGGAGAGTGTGGAGGCAGACAGATAAGAAATAAGGTTGTATAATGTTTTTACATTGTAGACTATATCAGAAACTGAGTTTGACTGAAATGTAAGTTCTCTACTGTGAATAAATGTTAACTCTTTTCTGCTTCATAGAAAAGAGAAAAGTTTGCATAAATTAAGTGAATACATTTTAGAAAACCTAATTGGATACTTGAGAATTTTTTAAAAATTGAAGTAGAATAACTTTTGAATTGGCATGTGTTTTGAAATTATAAATTTTGCTTCAAATTATCTGAGTCTTACCCATTTTTATAATAGATGATGTATTTGAATTTTTGAGAACTATTCTGTTTCTTGACCACAAAAGAGAAGCTTATTTAAGAAAGCAACTTGAAATGTATATGATATTTATTTAGAAAAATTATTTGTGTAACTTCTGTGAATGCCATATTAGAACTTAATTGTTATTTGAATGGACTAAGTTTTTGTAAAATAATTGCTGAAAGCATCTTAAAAGGAGTTTTGGTGCTTCCATCTTTTATAGGGAATAACAGAATTTGAACAAAATAAAAGGAAGTTTAAGTGAAGGAAAAGAAGGTTTGAGTATGTTGACAGAAAGGTTTGAAGAAATTTTTGACTTTGTTTAAGTGGGAATGTTGTGAAACTTCATGTGTCTTATTTTATTGGGAACAACAGCGAAAAAAATTTGTACCTTGATTTAGAAGTATATAGGGGAAAATTATAGAGAGCTGCGGGTAATCTGAAAGAAATGGGAGCTAAGAGATTTTAAATGTTGCCATCAGAACACCCAGATTTGAATTAAATTTAAGCATGATTAAAAGCATGATTGGGATAGATTATAACCTAATATCAGACTCTGCCACTTTTAAAGTATTTGGCAGTATTTGACTGGAAATGGAGGGCTCCATAATATGACCTATCATTAAAATGGTAAATTCTTTTAAAAATCTGGATTCTTTTGGTTTATAGGTTTAATTGTTATACATCCAATTGTTAAAAGAATAATGTGAATCGGGCAGGTATGTGACACATTGGATAGAGCTCTGGCCTTGGAGTCAGGAGGACCTGAGTTCAAATCCAGGCTCAGACACTTGATACTTACTAGCTGTGTGACCCTGGGCAAGTCACTTAACCCTGGATACTCACCAAAAAAGCAAAAAAAAAAAAAACCAACGTAATTTGCTCTGTTCATTTGGAAATGCAATAAATAATAATGTTTTTATTGTGATTTTAATAAATCAAGAATCTCTTTAAAATTTCCTCATCTATAAAAAGCAGAGTCCTAAGATCTTATCAGCCCTGCTAACAGTTGAAAGCTGTCCTGAGAACTTCCAGAATATCTAAGAGAAGTTGTTCCAGATGGCTACAAAGGAAGGACCTTTGAGGTTCAAGATGAAATGTGCTGATTAAATGAGCTTTGGTGGGCTGATAAATCCCAACCTACAGCTCCGTGGTGGAAGGATCTGGCTTTTGGATGCAGCAAGATCTTGCCTTGCTTGCTCAGTGAAGCGTGGGACCAAGGGAATGAATGCTATCATGGTCCAGCAGCTCATCAAACCAAGCCTTGCTTGGCCAGTGATAGAATTAACCTCGGCAGCAAAGGGGAATGTTGAACGCAGCTAGCTGTGAGCTGACCTTGCCCCCACCCCAGAGCCTGAGGAAGGTTAAGCTGGTCCAAACCAGTTATCAAAACAACCAGCTGCACCTGGAGCCAGCCATTCTGACTCGATGCTGCCACTCTCCAACCTCCCCAGCCTTTGGCCCTCCCTGTTGCTGCCCTACCCACGCATCTTTCTCTGTTGAAGGGTATTTAGACCCTGCCATCTCCGTCCCTTGTGAGCACTCCTACACTCTGGTGCTGTGAGGTGTCCTGAACTGCAATTCCCTTGCCTTGATGAAAGACCCTTGTCGTTACTCCTTCGGTAGTCCTCCTCATTTCCGGCTGACAACGTGGAGAGAGGATGGAGGCAAGGGGAAGTAACTGGAAATAGGGACATGAATGATGGGCCAAGACGAGCTCAGGCTGATGGCACGGAAATGGCTGGTTTTGCTCTGGTTAGGCACAAGAAGAAGCCTAAAGGGATAGAAGCGCTGTTCTGGATGAACAGAGGGAGGAGAACGGATGAGGGAGGACCTAATTCTTGACGTGCTTCTGGTTTTGTTTTTAAGAGAGGACAACAAGTTTTGAACTAGGAAGGGTAGACTGAAAGTGGCAAACAAGGGTGATTAAAAAATAGTTAACAGGAAATGGTTCACCCAAGTGAAGAGATGGAAAAGGAACCCTTAACTACCCTCAAATGACCCAAACGAATTACATCTCACAGTAAGTAGAGGACTGGAAAATGTGACTGCTAAGCTGCTGCCAGTGATTCTTGAAAAATTAAGGAAAATAAGAGAAGTACTGAAGGGTTGAAAATGGACAAATGCTGACCCCCACCCCTCATTTTTTAAAGAGAAGAGGGTGAAATTTTCAAATTATAAGATAGTGAACTTTTATGGCAGCATTCCAAAGCACATTTACTGAAGGGGTGGTTTGTGAAAATTTAGAACGGGAAACAATTATTATCATGAGCTAGCATGGCTTCATTTTTAAAAAAGTTACATGATAACTTTATCCTATACATAAAAGGACTAGTAAGTTGTACATAATTTGGAGTTTAATATATAATCTTCCCCCCCCCCTATTTTACTGTTATGGAAATGCCTGTTTCATTTCTTAAGTTTAGAATAAAATAAAAATTTTTTAAAAGAATTTAAAGATTCTAAAACAATTTTAATTTTAAATTTAATTTTAATTTTTAATTGAAGGCATTTTAAAGGCTGGTTTTAGACTGGCAGATGGAGAGAATGGCATACCATGCTTGACCATCAATGAAACATTCCTTCCATGAGGAATGCCCTCCCTGTCCATCATGACTTGTTGAAATCCTACCCACATTTATAGATTCACTTAAATTTGCCTGATTTACCCAGTTCAAAGTGATATCTCCCTCCTCTGAACACTCATAGTCCTTCCTCCTATTTTTGTATCTCTCTTAACATGTTTTATCTTGCATTGTGGGCATTTATATTTATCTTATCTTTTTTTATTAGATCTTCTCCTGTCTTATTCCTTGAGGGAAGGGACCACACCATTCACACAGTTCCTTGTATGTGGAATGATTTAACAATCATTGAATTAAATTGAACTGGGAGCTGAGGGTTCTAACTTAAGCCATTGCTTTTGGCCCTAGGCTTCTTCAATATTAGCCCAAGGCTACTGGCTAATGTCACATCCTCTAATAAAGTCCAAAACTATGGACTTCATCACACCACAGCTTAACTTTCTAACTGTAAACTAGTTAGTATGGAGCCTGAGCTCAGACCATAGAAGATACATTTCTTGTCAGGGTTTTCCTGCTATGATTCTCTTCCTTTGTCTTCCCACCTGCTATCTGATCCTATGAACCCTGCTGGAAGATCTTAGATGTATAGACTGGGGTACTAAATCCCTTATTCAAACTGCCACAGCTCTCTTGGGAGGAGGAATCGTTTTCTTAAGCCTTCCTAGAGGAGAGGAGTGTATGGTGACCCTACGACAAACTCAGTATGTAAGATCATGGCTATACTAGGCCTAGACAATAAACAGCAACTCTCCAGGTGGACTATTGGTGAATTTTCATTTGTGTACTTTTTTTTTTAGGCAATTGGGGTTAAGTGACTTGCCTAGGGTCATACAACTAGTAAGTGTCAAGTGTTTGGTCTGAATCCAGATTTGAACTCAGGTCCTCCTAACTTCAGGGCTGGTGCTCTATCCACTGTGCCACCTAGCTACCCCTGATTTGTGTACTTTCAAGGGGAAAGTGAACAAAGAGTGGCCTGCTGTCCAGTGACCTGGAAGATTCAATGTACCTGGTGGCTTTAGGAAGCTCATTCAACCTTGTACCGTCTTCCTCCATAGTTACAAGGAATTAATATTAGAAACCATAGGAACAACACTGTTGGAATCCACGCACTGATGGAGGCACTTGCCCTCACAAGGGGCCAGGTGCCATGCTAGCTAGCTCTCCACATCCTAGCCTACCTTGCATATCTCTTTCTGTGCTTTGGGGATCCAGGGAATCACATCCCCAGAGGGCAGCAGCTCTTTCAGGTGCCGGATGGTTTGAGGTTTGAGCGGCAGGATGGGGCCATTGTCTTCATTTAGGTAGAGCTCACAGATGCGATTTCCAAGAGTATGCCGAAATAGCAGATTGCCACCTTTCTTGGCACTGACGCAAACGGTCAGGAAGTTGTCCAGATCTTTCCAGAGATGTAGGAGGCGGTTCTCCGTCTTGTAGTGCTTACTCTTAAGGTAGTCTCCAAAAGGATTCCCTGCACAGGAATCGGCAGTGAAAGCCCAGTGGAGATATTCAAAGGAATAACTTTTCCGAATCACCTTCTTTAGGGATATCAGGGAGGACTGGTTGATGACAGGGGTGGCATTACGCAATTTGGCTGTGAATTTCTTCTCACAGATTTCTTCTAGGGAAAAGGGCAGACAAGTTTTATTATCATTTGCCTTGGAGTTGAAGGTTATGGAACTGAAGCTGTCCTTTACCTTGAAGTCACACGTGCTGTCTCTAAAATGCAGTGGTCTCAGGGCACCCATCCGCACAACGAGTTTTGATGGAGGACAGAAGACATCAGGGAAGCGTTGAAATCCTTTGTCAAGCAACTTGCTCTTTTGGGGTTGCAAAGTGTGTATGATGGGCAGTTCAGGTTCAACAGTCCATGTGCCCTGGTCAATGAACCGCCACATCTTCTTCTTGGTTTTCTTGCTGCAGTATGGCTTCTGGGTCACATAAAGCCTCCTGACGTTCATATTAAGGGGGAGGTCACTTAGCAAAGAGTCAGTGTCTTCCTCCTCCACCTGACAGAGGCGGTCTTCATACTCCTGGAGCAGAGCCTGGCACTTTTCCTCCTTGGCCATATTGATCTTGCAGTGCATGTAGAAGTTTGGGAGCCAATAGCTCTGGATTTTGAACAGAGCCACTTTCTGCATATGGCTCAGGATCTTCCTTCTGGTGGTGGACTGTTTGGGATGCCACACAGAGAGGTTCATCAGCGACTCTGGAAAGCACACAGAGAAACAAAGGGTGAAGGCAGGATGATGATTTCTCTCTCAGTGCATGGGGGAAAGGAATGGGAAAGAGACAAAATAAATGATGGTTAGTTGAAATTAGAATAAAAAAAGTGAAGATATTATCATTTTGCTACTCCAAGTGCTTTTCAACATATTATCTCGTTTGTTTCTTACAGCCACCCTGGGAGGGAAGGGGGATCCAAACATTAACCCCATTATCCTCATTTAACTGATGGAATAACTGAACCAGTGAACCAGTAGTAAAGACCGTGGGTTGAGCTCAGATCTGCTGACAGCAATGGTGATGGTTATCTGGACTGTGCCCAGTGTTCTGACTGAGCTATGGAGTGGAGAGGGGAACACATGTTGTCCTTGCCTTGTGTAATAAAGTCTAACCTAGACTATTGAATGGGTTTAGATAAATAAAAGAAAAAAAAATCTGAGGAAACGTTGCAGATTATGAAGAGTCCCAGTATTGAAGTCTTTTTGAATGAAGGGTATGCTAAATGACTACATAGGGGACTTTCCAGCCCTGTGTTTCTCTAGCCAACTCTTATGCATCCATATAAATGGTAGTGATTAGAGGCATAGCTAGTCTAAAACAGGAAGTATTGCTAGTAGGATTTGGAATGAAACTTTAATGTACTTGTAATTGAATATGGGGATGTCTGGGAATTCCTTTCAGACAAAATGATGAAGCTACGCTGGTTCAGGAGGAAGTGAGCAGCTGCTCATTTGCTCCAACCCAGTATTGGGTCCTCCTAGCTATCTATACCACTCTGGAAAAAGGCAGCTCATCTCTCAGGCTAATGCAAAGTGCCTGCCTAAGTGGAGGTGCCTTCTTTCAGACCCTTCCTGTTTGGGCTCCATAGGATTTTTATCAAGCATAAAAAGAGACTTTTTTTTTTAAAGTGAGCTATCAGTGAAGCAATTAACTAGAGAGCTACAGTAACTACCAATAACAAAGAAAACAAGTGATGAGGTGGACAATTAAAAAATGATTTGATTCTATTGATCCCTCCATGAGTTTCCCCACTTATGGTGCCTTTCAGATTCTTACTGACGTTCATATTGCAAAGAATCAGTACAGAGGACCCTTCCTGCAAGTGAGTGGCCTTCAGCACCAAGAGGAGGGACAGGTAGGCATCCTTCTGCTTATCATTGGTCTCATCTATCCCGAGGATTCTCTCAGCAATTATCCAGAACTCCATCAGTTCCTCCCCTGCAGAGCAGACGGCAAAGTAAGAGCAGAGTAGACTCTATGCATAGTAAGAGTTGGCAGCCTCCATCCTAGTATGTCTTGAAGAACTGACCCATCTGCCTGAACCCCCTGCCACACAGCCTGGAATTTTGCCAGGAAAAGCTTCTTGGAGTGAAATTACTCTCTCTACAAAAGCCCCATTACCTGGAAGGAAAGGTAGGGTATAGAGTCACAAATAGGAATTCTGGTGCCTGATGCAAATTCGGTTAGTAAGGGGAAGAGCTCTCTTGGGGTTTGGGATCCCACATCCTTGCTGATCTTGGGCATCCCCTGGAAAAGGTGTGATGGTGGGTCTCCAGTCATGGTGCCAGTGAGAGGCAGCCTCACTGGGGACAGTCATGCTAGGAAAAGGGGTACAGAGGAAGAAACTGAGGCTCAAAGAGGTTCTGCAACTTGCCTAAGGTCACAGCTAAGTGTCAGAAATAGGACTTGAAGCAAAGTCTTCCTGACTCTGAGTTCAGACCTCCATCCATTGTCTTTCTGCCTCTCCTCAGTGCACTGATAGAAAGGGCAATCCTGAATGGCACACCAGAGTAGGAGACTTGAAGCAGCTGGCAGGATGGGATAGGGGACAGTGATAACTCTATGAAGGAAATTCAGAGCAGAGTCTGTTCACTCCTCCCTTCCTTATTCCTCAGAACACAGTAGCGTATGCTGAAGAGGTGGAGGAAGCCGGAGGGAAAAAGCCTCTCTTCTCTGATTCTTTGTTCAAACCGTGGTCTTGGCCACGGAGGGCTGAACCCAAGCCAGCAATGCGGGACGCAAGATTCTAACTGTGTCACCAACAGGCAAGTGGGGAAGAGAAACTAAGCACCGCCACGTCTCCCTGGAGAGGGCCCAGGATGTGTGTGCCTGCTTCATAAGCACTCACGCAGTTTCCAGCACAGAGTGGACAGAGGCCTGTTTTTGTCCTCTTTCTATACGGTATCAATTTCCAAGATTTCCTCCATTGGCTTACATAAATCCGAACTCCAACCCATGAGTTAGCAAAGGGAACACGCTACGTCTTCATTTTCTTAAATCTTGATTTAAAGAGGCCTCAACACCCTTATTTTGTATCCTAGGAACTGCAGCCCCCCCACCGTGATTCAACAGAAAAGAGATGGAGTAAAGGAGGGGGAGGGAAGCAGGTCACAGGAATAGCTACAGTAACCCACCTGCTGTGCCACTGAGGTAGGCACAGAAACGCCACATTCCCCGGACACTGCCAACACATTTGTAGAGGAGCCATTGGTCTGCGGTCTTCCATCTCATCATGTTGGCTACCAGAAAAAGCTGACAGTGAGAAGGTGGTCCCCAACCCCGCCAGAGCGGCTTTGCAAATAGCCAATCTCTTCTTAGCTGTGGCCAGTCATCTCAGCCCATTAGACCACTGTGCTCAGGAAACCAAGGCCATTGTCTCAAATATTGGAAGCAGTCATTTCTAGAGTACCCAGGTTCTGGGGACAGCTGCCTTGGCAGACGTTCACGTACCTAAGTATAGTCATCCCATGAATTCCTTTAAATAAATGGCTAGAATTATCCCTCTCCTCCTTCACATGCTGTCCTTTGCTGACTGACCATTTTTCCTGTTCAAGGTCCTCTTTGATGTTGATTTTTACTCCATGTGTCAAAGGAGTTAACACATTGTGACTTAAACTGGTTTTGCCCTAGGGTTGGCCCTGAATCCCCTTGGCCATGGTCAGTTAGCTCCATGGATTAGAACATGTACTCTTGAAAATAAAATTGAATGTCTGACCTCTGTCTATAAAACAATTTCTCCATACATGCTTTTAACTCTGGCTAGGCTAGTTCAAGAAGCCAGGTCTTCTGCCTTATAAGCCCATTACTATAAGCAGTAACCTATAGAAGAGATCTTAATCCTTATGCTGTCTTGTCTCATGAAGACAGGTGTTTTCATGTACCAACTTTTCCAAAGGCACCATAGCATAGCAATATGAACATGTGGACCCTTAATGAAGACTATTGGACATGGAATTCTTTTTTTTTTTTGGCTAAGCAATGGGGTTAAGTGACTTGCCCAGAGTCACATAGCTAGTGAGTGTTATATGTCTGAAGCCAGATTTGAATTCAGGTCCTCCTGAATCCAGAGCTGATGCTCTATCCACTGCACCACCTAGCTGCCCCAGACATGGAATTCTTGTTGGAAGGCCTTGTGGCCTTCCATGTATTCTCCATGTTTTGCTATTATCTCCTTGTTGGCCATCATAAAATAATGCTGGACTCTTTCCCCCTTAGATATCTGGCTCCTGTGTCTTCTACTCACTTGATTGAAGCTTCAATCTTCAAGAGATTGTTCAATCTTCAATATTTTGAAGCCTACCAATTAAATTCAATTTTCTTTTCCTGGCATTCAGTGCACCTCCATACCTAGCCTTCTATCACTTTATATTCCTCATCTTCATTCACTCTATGATCTAGTCAAACCAAAATATTCTGTTTCCTAAACATGCCCTAAAGATGAACAAAGATGAAAATCTTTGTTCATGCTGCCGTCTAGGACTGGAATGTCTTCCCTACAACTATTTGCTTGTTGGATTCCTACCCATTCATTCATTCCCGCTTAAATACCACCTTCTCCATAAAAATTTCTGTGATCTTTCCTGTCTGTAGTGACCTGAACACTTTGCTTCCTATTAAATTTTTTTTGCATCCTTCTAATTGATTAAACCATATGTTATTGTGTATTAAATTATTTGTGTTTGTATCTTACTTTGTATCTTGTGTCTACTAGACTTTGTAGCTCTTCCTGCACATGGCATAGTTCTCTGCACAGAATAATCATTTAAAAGTTGTTCAGTTGAATTGAAATTGAATTGTGCTCACCACCCTCTGGGGATTTGATGAAACTGAGGAGTTCCTTACAGAGCATATAATGGTGACATAAGTTGGTCTTGCAGAAATAAGGTAATCTGTATTTTTCCAACCATGTCAATAAACCTTTGTACTTGGCAATCTAAAATTCAAGAAGGACAGGAATAGAAGAGAAAATAATGGCCAATGGGAATCTCCCTGCCCATGTCAGAACAGGGTAAATGACAGTCCTCTCCCTCTCTTCCCGATCAAGCTGAATCCCACTATTTGAGATTGGAAGCTGAGGGTGCTGAAGACAGAGTCCAAAGAGAGGAAACTCTAGTCTTTGGTTGAGGCTGGCAAAGAGGAAGTTGTATTAGGAAGGAAGAAAAGTAGTGGTTTGAGCTCCTGCAATGTTCTTTCATTTCCAAATCCATTTCTCTGAATGTGTTAATGTTGTTTGAAACAGAATCTATGGTCTATGTGAAAAATGGGCCTTCCTTCCCAAAACATCCTTCCATAGCCACCACTCCCCAGGCCCCCACAAAAGGATCATTTTTCCCTATTAAGCTCTTCCTGAGAAGGCAGGGTCTTAATTTTTGTATTTATATGCACAAATCTTAGCCCAATGCCTGTCAAGCAGTTAAGTAAACACTTAACAAGGAGACAGCCAGTGTACTGGTGAGGAGCCTCTCTGTATATATTAGGAGAATTATTTACCTGGTTCAACATGGGTTGTCCCACTCCTCATGTGCCTTCAACTTGCCTCAAGTTTTGTTCCCAACCCACTCCTCCTTTCCCCAGCCACACTTCAACTTACCCCGAAATCCCCCCATATGCCTATTCCATTTAATGAAGGTTAGAACTTGACTTACCAAAGTACAGGGTAACTCTGGCCATAGGAGCCACTCTAAATCTTGAAGTATATAAATTGGTGTTTGACCAAAGACCTGCAAAAGAAAAAGAAGAATCCAGTCAGTAGAATGGAGTTTCCTCACTCATGTGTATAAAATACCGACTCTTTACAGAACAGTGTTTCTTGGGGCCATGCTCAACTATTTCAGAAGATATTATCCTCAAAACATTCCCAACTTAACAATACTGACCACTAGAGCAGAGTAACCTTGCAGATACATAGCCCAAATTGACCAGCCTACTGCATGTGCATATGTGTGCTTGTGTGTATTTTTAACTAGTTCTTCTTATCCAGCCTGTATATACAAGTCAGTCAGTCAATCAGTCAGTCAACAAGAACTTATTAAATATTTACTATTTGCTAGGCACCACTGTGCTAAGCACTGGAGATATAAACAGAAGCAAGTTTAATGGGAGAGACAATGTGTAAGCAGCTAGGTGTGTGTTAAATATATAGAGAGCAAACAGAAAGTAATTTGTGAGAGGAAGCCAGTAGCAGCAGATGGGACCAAGAATGTAGGATTTGATCTGAATCTTGAAGGAAGTGAGGGAACTGAGGAGATAGAGCAGTCTAGGCATGAGAGATAGCTAGTAGAAAGACACGGAGCTATCCTCATTCAGTAGGCCAGTGAGACTGGATTGCATAACACACCAAGGGGAGTATAGTGTAAAACTGGAAAAGATAGGGTGAAATAATTTTCCAGCCCATGACAGCTTAGAAGGTCAGCAGGAAACTTCTGTCTCACTCAGGTAAAAGAGGAGCACAGTCCAGCAGATGTGGCATCTGGGCAATCCAGCAACAGGTCTGGCAAGCCAGCAATGAGGTCTCAAGCCCCAGAACAAGCCATCAGCAAGGCCCCATTCCCCTGGTGCAAGCCAGCAATAAGATCTTGTTCCTCTGGCACAAGAAGCTTGGGACGGTGCCCCCTCACCCCAGGAGCAAAGCCTGCTTTTAACATAAAATTAAAAGTCATGAGGTAGGTTAGAAGAATGAGCAAAAAACAAACAAACAAATAAAAAAACCCTGACAATAGAAAGTTACTATGGTGACAGGGAAGATGAACACACAAACTCAGAAGAGAACAACAATGTCAAAATGGCCACCTGTGAAGCCTCGAAGAAGAATGTGAATTGGTCTCAGATCAAAAAAAAAACAAAAACAAACCTCTTAGAGGAACTCAAAAAGGACTTTAAAAATCAAATAAGAGAGGTGGAGGAAAAATTGAGAAAAGAAATGAGAATGATACATGACAATCATGAAAAAGAGAGTCAATGGTAAAGGAAGCACAAAAAATGGAAAAAGATGTACAAAAATTCACTGAAGAAAACAACTCCTTAAAAAGTAGAATTGACCAAATGGTAAAAAAGATATATAAAAATCCACTGAAGAACTAATTCCTTAAAAATTAGAATTGGACAAGTAGAGGCTAATGACTCCATGAAACATCAAGAAACAATAAAACAAGATCAAAAGAATGAAAAAGAAAGAAGAAAATGTGAAATATCTCATTGATAAAACAACAAACCTGGAAAATAAATCCAGGAGAGATAATTTAAGAATTATTGGATTACCTGAAAGCCATGATTGATTAAGATGGGAAAAAAGTCTGAACATCGTATTTCAAGAAATTATCAAGGAAAATTGTCTGATATCCTAGAACCAGAGGGCAAAATATAAATTGAAAGAATCCATTGATCACCTCCTGAAAGAAAGTTCAAAATGAAAACCACTAGGAATATTTAGATGAATTCCAGAGCTCCCAGGTAAAGGAGAAAATATTGCAAGCAGCCAGAAAAAAAAAACCAATTCAAATATCATAGAGACACAGTTGGGATCACACAATATTTAGTATCTTCCACATATTCCACAGAATATGATATTCTGGAGGGCAAAGGAACTAGGATTACTACCAAAAACCATCTTTCCAGCAAAACTGCATACAATCCTTCAGGGAGAAAAATGAATATTCAACGAAATAGACTTTCAAGCATTCTCGATGAAAAGACCAGAACTGAATAGAAAATTTGATCTTCAAATATGAGACTCAAGAGAAGCATAAAAAAGTAAACCAGAAAGAAAAAAAAAACATAAGGGATTCAGTAAGGTTAAACTGTTTATGTTCCTACAGGGGAAGATGATATTTGTAACTCTTAAGAATTTTGTCACTATTAGGCCAGTTAGAGTATATACAGACAGAGGGCACAAGTATAAGTTGACTATGATGGGATGATATTAAAAAAATACCAAAATTAAGGATTGAGAAAGATGATTGTATTGGGAGAAGAGGGAAGGATGAGGTGGGATAGAGTATATTATGTCACAGGAAGAGGCACAAAAGACCTTCTGTAGTGAAAGGAAAGATGGGGTGGGGACAACACTTGAACCTTACTCTCATCAGAATTGACTCAAAAAGGGAATAACATGCACACTCACTTGGGTATAGAAATCTATCTTACTCTATAGGGAAGTAGGAGGGGATGGGAATGAGAGAGGAAGGTACTGATAGAAGGGAGGGCAGATTAGGGGCGGCAGTGGTCAGAAGCAAAACACTCATGAGGAAGGACAGGGTGAAAGGAGAGAGACAAAGAAACAGAGACAGACAGAAACAGAGATGGAAAGACACAGAGACAGAGAGAAATAGAGACACACAGAGAGACAGAGAGACATACGCACACAGATGGAGACAGAGAAAAGCATAAACCAGAGAAAAAAGGATAGAGGGAAATACACAGTAATCATAACCATGAATATGAAGGTGATGAACTCACCCATAAAATGGAAGCAGATATCAGAGTGGATTAAAAACCAGAATCTTACAATTTGTTGTTTAAAAGAAATGCATCTGAAGCAGAAAGACACATACAGAGTAAACGTAAGGGGCTGGAGCAGAGTGTACTATGCTTCAGCTGAAGTAAAAAGGAGAAGTAGCAATTATGATTTTGGGCAAAGCAAAAGCAAAAATAGATCTAACTAAAAGATTAAAAAAAACTATATCATACTAAAAGGTACCATAGATAATGAAATAATATCAATATTAAACATATATGCACCAAATGGTATAGTTTCCAAATTTTAAAAGGAGAAGTCAAATGAGTTACAGGAAATAGACAGTAAGACTATATTAGTTTTTGTTGTTCAGTCATTTCGGTTATGATGGACTCTTCAGGACCCCATCCGAGTTGATTTTTTTTTCCTTTTTTTTTTTGACAAAGATGCTAGAGTGGTTTGCTATTTCATTCTCTAGCTTATTTTATAGATGAGGAAACTGAGGCAAAAAAGGTTAAGTTATTTGCCTAGGATTCACACAGCTAGTAAGTGTCTGAGGTCAGATTTGAACTCAGGTCTTCCTGCCTCCAGGCCCAGTGCTCTATCCATTGAGTTATGGGAGGAAATCAACAGTAATACTATACTACTAGAAGACCTCAACTTTCCCCTCTCAGAACTAGATAAATTTAACCCCAAGACAAACATGAAAGAAGTTTAGGTGAATAGAATTTTAGAAAAGTTAGATATAATAGACCTATGGAGAAAATTGAATGAGGATAGAAAGGAATATACCTTTTTCTTGGTGGTACGTAGCACCTACACAAAAATTGACCATGTATTAGGGCATAAAAACCTCACACTAAAATGCAGAAAAGCAGAAATATTAAATGTACCCCTTTCAGATTACAATATAATAAATATTATATTCAATAAAGGGCCATGGAAGGATAGATTAAAAATTAATTGGAAACTAAATAATCTAATCCTAAAGAATGAGTGAGTCAAAGAACAAATCACAGAAACAAAAATTTCATGAAAGAGAATGGAAACAATGAGACAGCACATCAAAATTTATAGGATGCAGCCAAAGCACCACTTCCGGGAAAATTTATATCTCTAGACAACAAGAAAATAGAGAAAGAGTAGATCAATGAATTGGGCATGGAACTAAAAAAAAAAAACAACCTAGAAAAAGAACAAATTAAAAATCCCCAATTAAACACCAAATTGGAAATCCTGAAAATTAAAGGAGAGATTAAAAAAATTGAAAGTAATAAAACCATTGAATTGATAAATAAAACTAGGAGCTGGTTTTATAAAAAATAAAATAGAGAAACCATTGGTTAATTTGATTTAAAAAAAAAAGGAAACCAAATTACCTGTATCAAAAATAAAAAAGAAAAAAAGAAAAAAGCGAATTCACCACCAATGAAGAGGAAATTAAAACAATTATTAGGAGGTATTTTGCCCAATTATATGCCAATAAATCTGACTATCTAGTTGAAATGGATGAATATGTGCAAAATATAATTTTCCCAGATTAATAGAAGAGAAAATAGAATACTTAAAGAATCCCATCTTAGAAAAAGAAATTGAACAAGCTTTCAAAAAAGTCCCTAAGAAAAAAAAATCCCAGGGCCAGATAGATTCGTAAGTGAAACATTTAAAGAACAATGAATTCCAATACTATATAAACTATTTGATAAAATAGATGAAGGAGTCTTTTTGATGACACAAATATGGTGCTGATAGACAAAAAAGAAAGTGTGAATTCAGAGAAAGAAAACCATAGACCTATAACTATAAACCAATTTCCCCAAAGTGGTCTGAATATTAATGCAAAAAATGCAAATAAAATTTAATGAAACACTAGTAAGGAGATTATAGCAATATATCACGAGGATCATACACTATGACCAGCTGGGATTTATATCAGGAATGCATGGCTGGTTCAATATTAGGAAAACTATCCACATAATTTACTGTATCGATAATGAAACAAATAGAAATTATAAGATTATCTCAATAGATTCAGAAAAAGCCTTTAACAAAATACAGTACCCATTCCTATTAAAAATACTAGAGAATAGGAACAAATGGAGCTTTCCCTAAAATGATAAGTAGTATCTATCTAAAACCATCAGCAAGCATTATCTGTAATTGGAATAAGCTAGAAGTCTTCCCAATGAGATCAAGGGTGAAACAATGATGTACATTATCACCATTATTATTTGATATTGTACTAGAAATGTTAGCTCTAGAAATAGAAGAAAAAGAAATCAAAGGAATTAAAATAGGCAATGAGGAAAGAAAACTATCACTCTTAGCAGATGAAATGATAGTATACTTAGAGAATCATAGAGAAGCAATTAAAAACTAGTCAAAATAATGAACAATTTGAGCAAAGTTGCAGGATATAAAATAAAACCACATAATTCATCAGCATTTCTATATTACTAATAAGGTCCAGGAGCAAGAGATAGAAAGGGACATTCCATTTAAAATAACTGTAGACAATGCAAAATACTTGGGAGTCTACCTGCTAAGACAAACCCAGGAACTATATGAACACAATTACAAAACACTTTTCACACAATTAAAATGAAATCTAAACAACTAGAAAAAATATCAATTGCTTGTGCATGGACTGAGCCACTATAATAAAAATGACAATTTACCTAAATTATTTTATTCAGTGCCATGTAAATCAAACTACCAAAAAATGATTTTATAGAGCTAGAAATAAATAATAACAAAATTCATCTGAAAGAGCAAAAAGTCTACAATATAAAGAAAATCAATGCAAAAAAAATGTAAAGGAAGGTAGCCCAGCTGTACCAGATCTCTAGTATAAAGTGGTAATCATCAAAACAATCTGGTACTGGCTAAGGAATAGAGCGGTGTATCAGTGGAATAGATTAGGTACATAATACACAGTAGTCAATGACCATAGTAATCTAGATCCAAAGACTCAAACTTTTGGAACAAGAACTCACTATTTAATAAAACCTTCTGGGAAAACTAGAAAAATAATATGGCAGAAACTAGGTATAGACCAACATCTCACACCATATACCAAAATGAGGCCAAAATGGGTATATGATCTAGACAAAAAGGGTGATACCATAAGCAAATTAGGTTAGCATGGAATAGTTTACCTGTCAGATCTATGGAGAAAGGAAGAATTTGTGAGCAAACAAGAGACAGAGAGCATTACGAGATGTAAAATGGATAAATTTGATTATATTAAATTAAAAAGGTTTTGTGCAAACAAATGCCACCAAGATTAGAAGGAGAGCAGAAAGATGAGACATAACTTTTTTACAGCAAGGCCTCATTTCTCACATATATAGAGAGCTGAATCAAATTTATAAGAATATAAGTCATTCCCCAACTGATAAATGGCCAAAGGATATGAACAGGTAGTTTTCAGGTAAGGAAATCAAAGCTATTAATAATCATATAAAAATGATCTAAATCACTATTGATCAGAGAAATACAAATTAAAACAACTCTGAGGTACCACCTCACACCTATCAGATTGACTAATATGACAGAAAAGGAATATGATAAATGTTGGTGAGGATGTGGGAAAATTGGGACACTGATGCATTGTTGGTGGAACCGTGAACTGTTCCATGTATTCCGGAGAGCAATTTGGAATTATGCCCAAAGGGCTTTAAAAGTATGCATACTCTGATCCAGCAATACCACTGCTAGGTCTGCATCCCAAAGAGATAAAAAAAAAGGGGGGGGGAGAGGACCTATTTGTAAAAATATTTACAATAGCTTTTTTTGTGGTGGCTAAGAAGTGGAAATTGAGGGGATGCCCATCAAATGGGAAATGGCTGAACAAGTTGTGACATATGATTTTAATGGGATATTATTGTGCTATAAGAAATGAACAGGATGATTTCAGAAAAACCTGGAAAGACTTACACTAACTGATGCAAAGTAAAGTGAGCAGAACCAGGAGAATATTGTACATGGTAACAACAATATTGTATGATGATCAATTGTGAGTGATTTTAGCTATTGTCAGCAAAACAATGATCCAAAATAATTCCAAAGGACTCATGATGAGAAATGCTATCCACCTTCAGAGAAAAACTGGTGGAATCTGAATGCAGATCAAAGCGTACTATTTTTTGCTTGCTTTATTTTTGTTTTTCTGGTTTGTTTGTATATTTTTTGGTCCGTGTTTTCTTTCACACCATGACTAATAATGGAGATATGTTTTACATGATTGCTCATATATAACCTATCTCAAATTGCTTACTGTCTCAGAGAAGGAGAGAAAAAGGAGGGAGAGAAGGAGAGAATTTAAAATGCAAATTTAAAAAAAAAAGAATGTTAAAATTGTTTTTTCATGTAATCGGGGAAAAATAAAATATTGTTTAAAAAATGAAAACGACTGAGCAACAACAATGAATAAAAAGAGAAGGCTCTAAAGGGCGAAGTCCAGTGGAATCATTTTTATACCAACTGTGGAGTTTCCACAGACTTTTGGTTGGACTAGTGCTGTATCTTTAGTATCTTCTCCTTCCACTGTAGTTCAAACCAAACCAGTTAAAATATGACTAGAGACTTAGTGTTTTGAAGTTGGAGGTTAGTCATTTTAATAATAATAGCTGAAAAATGCTTTTCACGTAGTCTCATCTGATCCTCACAACAACCCTGGGAAATAGGTGCTGTTACTATTGCCATTTTACAGATGGAGGAATTGAGGCCAACAGAGGTTAAATAACTTTCCCAGGGTCACACAACTAATGTCTGAGTGTGTGAGGCTGTTATGGAACTCAGGTCTTCCTGACTCCCTTTATCTACTGTGTCCCCTAGCCACCTAAAAAAAAGATCTCATTCACTTCTGCCATTAATTATTAAATCAAATTAGATTAAAATACTTTGGTTTGTTTCTCAGTTAAATAAAAGAAATATAATACAAGATATAATATGATATAATACAATATGACACAGTAATAATAGCTAACATTTATATAGTGCCTACTACTTTCCAGGCATTTCCAAAAGTCCTCTTTTTATAATTTTTATCATATTTGATCCTCACAACCACCCTGTGAGGTAGGTCTATTATTATCTCCAATTTTACAGATGAAGAAACTGAGGCAGACATGAGTTAAGTGACTTGCCCAAGGACACATAGCTACTAAGTGCTTGAGGCAGGATTTAAATCTGTTCTTCCTGACTCCAGGCCCAGAGCTGTATCCGCTATACTACCTGTGCAACACAATACAATTTAATACACAGCGTCTAAGTTAAACTTTCAGAAGTTTGGGTTCAGATTCCTGAATGCAACAGATACTTACTGGGAGAGACAGAAATGTGTTGAAAAAATCAGCAAAGACTTCATCTTCCAGCAGTACTATAAGATTTGTTGAAGCAATGACATCTATATGAGGAATAAGAAACCAATAAACTAGGCTCACAGTCAACATCTAGAAATAAGATAATAAGATGACGAAAAATCTTATCTTTGCAAGGGACCTTAAAGGTCCCACCCACCTCCCACCCAGTGCCTGAATGATTGTCTGTGACACATGGGCCTTCAGCCTTTGCTCAGAAACTTCCAAGGATCAAGAACTCGCTCATTCTGAAGGCAATCCTTGCCATTTCCAAACAGTTCTAAGTGTTTGCAAGTTCTTTCTCATACTGAGCCAAAATCTTCCCCCCTGTAACTTCCATCCAGGGATCCAGATTTCCCCTTTGAAGCCACACTAAATCAGTCAAATCCTTTTTACCCTTGACCATCTTTTAAATATTTAAAGAAAGTTCCATCTCTACTCCCCAAGTCTTCTGTTCTTCAGGACAGGCATCCCCAGAGTCTTCAACTCTTAGTCATACGACAAACTTTCCAGACCCTTCACCATCTTCACTTCTGGATGTGCTGAAGATTTGTCAATGCGGCTCTCTAATTGCGGGTCAAGAAATTTCTGTGGCGCCCAGTTTCCCCCCTGTTACACATTTAAAGCTCTTTGCAGCCTATCTTCAACTTGTGTTTCTACAAAGTATTGTATTTTCAAATTTGTAGTACATATTTGCATGTGCACTGAAGTCAATGCATCAAAGAGACCTGTAAATTCATTAGTCTGGCAAGCACACTAAAATCTCCATATAGTTTTTAGATTTAGAGAGATGCCTGAGGCTCAGAGCAGTCATGACATAATAAGCATCAGACATGGGACATGAGACAAGGTCCTTTGGATTTCCAGTCAGTGCCGTATCCGTGATGTCATGCATAGTAGACAAACAGAAGAATAAAACAGAAGAATACTATCTAACAAAAACATATTGTACAGTAATGCCTATGGTCATTATCTGGGGATAGTATATGTACCTGTGATTTCATTGATATAGGAAACTCCCAGATGAGGAAGATCCCTCTACCAATACAGGTCAGCATCTTCTCTGCATCTGCTAGGAAAGTTGCCTAGAGGAGTGAGAAGTTACATGACTTGCTTAGGGTCATGTAGGGACATGGCCAATGTGTGTCACAAGTGACATTTGGCCCTAATCTTCTTGGCTTAAAGGCCACCTCTGTACTCACCATATAATTATTTCTAACTGACATTTTCACTTATGATTTCTTAATGAGCCGATATAAAAAGTTTAGATCTGAAGCATGTGTGGCTGGTATACATCAGAGATAAGATTTGAACCAGGACTCCCTGACTCCAAGGCTGGTGTTCCAGCTACTGTGCTGTAACCAGCCCCTTCCCCCATCATGTGTTTAAATGGGATGGGAATTGGGACAGAAAACATCATTTGGGACGTCTGAGCTTCGTAATGGGGTTGGGGGCAGAGAGGAGAAGGGAATGGGAGGAGCAGAAACAGCCAGGCTAGCCATCGTACTGTGAACACCTTGTGAGCTGCAATCATCCCTGCCTAGAACAAAGTAGGCGCTCGAGAAATGCTGAATGAATGCATCAATTTCTTTGGGCAGCAGAAACACCACTGCTATTAGCTGCTTACCCCTGCCTCAAAAAATATTTCTGTTCCTTCTGAGGTTTTCTCCAGTTCCTCCTGTCTATATCTTGTTTATGCATAGTTGTTTGCATTTCATTTCCTCCTGCAGAAATCGCTTTTGCCTTTCTTTATATCCTTGGTGCTTAGCACAGTGCCTAGCCACAGAGTCAGCTGCATAAAAGCTTGTTGACTTGTTGACTGACTTGATTAAGCCCTCCCCGTGAACTGGAGACATAAGAACATGAGATTTCATTTGGAAGCTAAATAAGTAAGGGAAGTCAGAATGTAGAGTGGAAAGAAGTTGGACTTGTGATCAGGATGCCTTGGTTCTCCTGACTGACATGGATTTGCTGTGTGACTAAGTTTAGCAAGTAACATTTTCTCAAGAGTTTTAACCTCCTTTCCCTATTAGACTTTCTCCCTTGGCTTTGACCTGGACTAAATAATCGTTAAAGTCCCTTCTAGTCCTGACAATCTATGATTCTAAAATTAAAATGTTATTTCTAAGTTATTTACACATACATCAGATCTTCAATGACCTTTGATTTTATTTTCCTTTTTAAGAAACCATTTTAATCCTCCACTCATTTCCCTGAGGGTCTTCCCCTCCCAGATTGATTTTTTTTTAACTAGGTAAAAGAACTCACTTTTTGCTTCATTTCTTACCTAGCCTTAATCACTGAATGGGCATTGCCTCAGACAAACTGAGACCTGGGAACAATCTTAGCTTAAAAAAACCAAGGTCTCCCACTGCATTTGGGGACCATCTCCAGTTGTCCTAATCTATATCTTGCCACTGAACCCAAATGGCTTAGGAGGAGAGAGTGAGGTTGGTGACTTTGCATAGCCCTGCCTCACTTAAATCGAATTCACTTACAAGTCATGACATCCCCTTCCTGATATCATTGGTCCTCTTTGAGAATGAAGAACAAACAACACCTCATTTCCAATTAATACCTTAACTGCAAACAATGCAGTTTCCAGCTCTCAGTTGAAGTTGCCCTTAGTGCCTGGTCTCAATCCACGATTTTTTTTTTTAAAACAAAGATTGCTTTGACCCTTCTGCCAAAAGCAGGGCAATTAAAATTTTTTTTTGCCTCTTCCTAACAAAAACTTTATCCTTCAAAATGTTTAGGAACCAACAAGGGGGAATTCTATTCCAAATATAATTGTCAACAATAGGAAGGAATTTCTTAGTGGGGTAGAAATGATGGCCACCTTAGAGGGAAGTGATTGGTCTTCCTTGGGCTTGGGATAGAAGAGATGAAAGTCAGACATGGCGGACTGACATGCACATTAGATTATGGAGGAGCAGATTTCACAGGGTTTTGGGCTAGGATGGGTAGGACAACCTTGTCAAACTCTACAGGGAAAGTGAGCCCAGGAGGAAGGGGAAGCTCAAGAATAACATTTCAAAAACTCAAAGAGAAGCAATGCTGATGAGGAAGAAAAAGGGAAGTTATTTAAGCAAACAGATGTGAATACAGAAGGAACTCAACAGCCATCTTAGTCTTTAAAAAGATAGATGCAAAGGATGGAAGTGAGGGCAGGTAGCAGAGGAAGAGCACAGAAGTGGTACAGTGTTTACTGTAAGAATACTCTGATGAATCCTAAAACTCAGAATGAGCTGTGACCAGGAGGAAAGCTAACTACAATAATGACATTGACAATAGCAACAAAATATTTTTAGTCATATTTGGGAAAATAGCATGATGGAAAACAAGGGTAGCTCGGAGTGTATGGGTTGTTGGTAATTGATAACAGATAGAATGTAGTTGTACAGTTCTTATTTTGCTTCTGTTTTCTCTTTCAAAAGAATAACCTTTGCACTAGAAAGGGCAGGATAATTGAAGGGAATTGGCACCCAAGATAAATAAGGAATTAGTGGGAGAACACTGAGGGAGCCTTGGCGAGTTGAAGACACCTGCCCTGCATGAACTACAATTTTGGGGACTGAAAGGAAGGATTGCTGAACCACCGTCAGAGCTATCAGAAAAGGTCATGGAGAATAAGAAAGGTGCCACAGGAATGGAATGAGGCAAATATTATCCTTATTTTCAAAAATGGGAAAGGAATAGAATCTGCAAACGCTAAGTCAGTGAGCTTGACTTAACTCCAGGCAAAATTTTAGAATGTATTTTTTTTTAAAATGGTTAATGATCACCTACAAAAGAAAGAAAAGATAGCAATGAGATAGCAAGACTTGATAAAGGATTGATTATGCCAGATTACCTTTATTCCTGGTGAAATAGATGGAGACATGTTGGCTGGAAAATAGTAAGAGTAGGTAGATTTGGAAGAGGTTGAGTGTCAATGCGAAGAGTAGCTATTAATGATTAGATATCAAATTGGAAGGTAGTCTCTAGAAAAAGTCCTCAGGTATCTGTTCTTCACCCATGCCACTATTTACCAGTGACTTGGATAAAAACATAGAATTTTAATCAAATTTGCAGATGACAGAAATTTGGAAAGACAGAGACAGACATAGACAGAAACAGAGAGAAACAGAGAAAGAAAGACAGAGGCAGAGAGAGAGACACAGACAGAGAGAAAGAGAAAGAGAGAGAGACAGAGAGAGAAAGACAGAGGGAGAGAGAGAGAGAGAGACAGAGAGAGAGACAGACAGAGAGAGAGTGACAGCACACTGTGGCTGTGGCATAGGGTGATAATTGGCATCCAAAAAGGCTGGACAGGCTGAATCAATTCTAAAGAGATGAAATGTCAAAGCTGTATAGATAAACTTACTTTAAGTGTGTGCTCAAAACATAGAATCCACAAATGTAAGATGGAGTAAGCATCGCTAAACTACAATTGGCCTGAAAACAATCTGGGGATGTGAATGCACTACAAACCCAGTATGACTCTACAATATACCAGTAAAAAAAGTTAATTTGGTCTCATTCTGCACTGAGACTGGCCCAGTCTCTGGGGATGAGGAGGCATTAAGCCCTGGGTGCTCTGGCTGGCTTAGACCATTTCATAAACTAGGGTCAGCTTTGGGCATTACATTTGTCATATTGATAAGCTGGAGAGCAGCCACAGAAGACCAACTATAATGATGAAGTTCATTCCACGTAAAGATCAGCTGAAGGATATGGGGACGTATAACGTGTTCAAGAGAAGACTAGGGAAACGTTATGTCTGTTTTCAAGTATGTGAGAGGCTGTTTTGTGGAAGAGGGATTAGATATGTTCTTTTCAGGTCTGGGAAAGCAGAACTGGGAGCAATAAGAATTATAATTACCCTTATCACTAACATTTTTATAGCACCTACTGTGTGTGCCAGGCACTGCGCTAAGCACTTTATAATTATTACCTCATTTGATCCTCACAACCACCCTGGGAGGCAGATGCTGTTATTATCTGTTATACAGTTGAGGAAACAGAAGCAGGCAGGGAAGTTAAGTGACTTGCCCAGGGTCACACAGCTAGGGTCTGAGGCCAGATTTGAACTCAAATCTTCCTGACTCCAAGCCTGGTGCTCTAACCACTGTACCACCTAGCAGCCACAGACCTCTCTTTTAACCATTACCTTAACAATGGTTATAAGTTGCCATGTGTAAAGATTAAGCATGAGGTCTAGAGAAACTTGCTTTAGAACAAGAAGACACCTGACAATTTATCTGCTAGTCTTCTTAACTGAGGGTCCATGAAGCTTGTTTTTTAAATATTTTGGTAACTATATTTCCAATATAATTGGTTTCCTTTGTAACTCTATGTATTTTATTTCATTTATTTTTAGAACATCTTTTGAAAAGGGGTCCTTAGGCTTCACCAGATTACCATGAGAGTGTATGAGACAAAAAGAAAAGCTCTGGAAACCTTGATTTGTCTGATATTTCTATTTTACAATAAGGAATCCAAAGCTCAGAAAGGGGAATCTTGTGTCGGGTGCTAAAGCTCAGACTCAGCTGGACCAGGAGAAATGACTTACCCAAGGTCACACAGGTGGCAGAGCTGGAATTGGGGCAAAGATCTCCCAACTCTACATCCAGGGTCCTTTCATTGACCCCCAGAAGTCTACACAAATGAAACGAGCTCCCCTGGGATGTAGTAGGTTTCTCCTCATTGGATCTATGTAGATGATTGCTTGTCATGTTCATTGTAGAAGGAATTCTTGTTCTAGTAGGCTGGATTAGATGGCCTTAGAAGTCTCTTCCAGTTTGGAGACTAGGCTTCGGTGGCCTTCTTTCTCCAAGGCCCCTTCCCCCCATTCCCCATCCCCAGCTTTTCCTCTTTCTCTTGACAGCAATGCCATCCTTCCAGTAGCTCAGGGTCATTCTTGATTCTACATTCTCTCTCACCCCTCTTCTTCCCCATATCCAAACAGGATCCAAGTCTTGTTTATTTTGTCTCTACAATATCTTTGGCATTGATCTCACTCAGTCGGGGTCTCATAGGCTTGGAAAGCACTCCTTCACCCTTGACTCTGGAGTACTTGAATTTCCTTTAGGATTCAGGTGAGATAGTGACTCTTTCATGAACTCTTTCCTGGTCCTCATGGTTCCTGGTGTTCTTCCTTTTCTCAAATTAACTTTTTATATATTTTATTATTTATTTTCTACTTTAGAATAATGTTGCTTATTTTATTATTTCATTCCATTCATTCATTCATTTATCAATTTACATATTGTAGCCCCCAGTAGGATGTAAACTTCTTTAAGGTTGTCTGCTTTGTTGTTTTCCTTGTATTCTAAATGCTGATGACAGTGCCTTTCATGGAGGAGATGCTTAAAAATATTGAATTGAATTCACTCCTTCCAGTCACTCCCAGGTACACATTCTTGGAATCATCCTTCATTCCTCCCTCTTCCTCATCCCAGTCCTCTACCACTCACTTTCCAAATCTTATTGATTCAACCTCCACAGCATCTCTCACCTCCACTCCCTTAGTTCAGGTCCTCCTCATCTCTCTCCTTGATTCTTAAAATAGTTTCTTCATTGACAATTCATATTCCACATAGCTGCAAAATCAATATCTCTTAGACACTGGTATCATTATCTCACTCTCTTCAAAAATCTTGCAGGATAAATAGATTTAAAGCTAGAAGGGACTATCCAAGTCTATCCAACTCCCTTTTTTCCAAATGGGGAAACTGAGGCACAGAGAGTTTAGATGACTTGCACAGAGTCACAGCTGGTAGATATCTGAAGTGGGATTTGAACTCAGGTCTTTCTGACTCCCAATTCTAGCACTGTATTCACTATGCCACCTAGCTGCCTTTGATGGTTCACTATTGCCTCAGAATAAAATATGAGGCTCTTAGCCTGATGTTTAAAACCCTCCACACTTGGTTTTCACCTACCCTTTCCAGACTTAATATTAGCTCCTTTCAAGCATGCTTTGTTCTAACTGAATTTGCCTACTCACTGGGCCCAGAATATTCCATCTTTTACCACCCTACCTTCACTAGGCTGTTCCCAATTCCTAGAATGTATTCTCTCTTCCTCTCTGCCTCTTAGAATGCCAAACTTCCTTCAGGGGTCATCTCAAATACTACCTTTTATACAGAGCCTTCCCTAACTCCCCCTAGTTCTCTCATATTTCTCTGTACCTGTTGTATTCTCTCTTAGTAGTAGAAAGTAAGTTAATTGAGAGTAGGGAACGCTTTTAGTTTTAGCCTTTGCCACTCTAGTCTCTGGCTCAGTGTCTTATACAAAGTAGGTACTTAAATGTTTGTTCCAATTAATCGAATCTCCATTTCATAGATGAGGAAATTGAGGCTCAGAGACATAATGGGACTTGCTCAGGGCCACATAACTGGTTGGTAAATGTCAGAGTCAGAATTTTAACACAGGGTCCTTCCTGATTCCAAGTTTAGCATTCTTCTCAATTTACTGTACTGCTTCTCCTTTTATTGTGTTAGGTTAGTCTTATCTGTCCTATTAAATCATAGACTCTTTGAGGTCACAGACTGTGCCTTGTTCATCTTTGCAACTGACACAGCACCTAATACGGTTCAATGCACACAGTAGGTGCCCAATGTAGTAGGTATGCACCAACACGAGTCATATAAGCTCTTCCTTTGTTGTCTTTGAGGTGACACTGAGCCACAGAGGTTGGCTAGGTTGTGGGGACTATGTAGGAAGTGTGAGAAATGATTTTAAACTTTCAGCTTGGGTATGAGGCATTTCTATCATTCCTATCATTCCTAGGGGAATTGGGAGCACTTTCTTGGCTCTGTGTGGGTTTGGATAAAAGTAATTTCTCTTTTTGTTACATAGGTAAAATGATTTCTAAGTTTAAATATCTTTTTAACTTTAGTAATTGCAGGGTTGCTGAGAGACTTTTCTAGGAAACAGAACAAATCAGTTTTTGAAGTGCCCAGGGTTCCTCTGTGTTAGGGAAAATATCTCCTGGACAGATTTTGACAAAGGCAGCCCCCAAACGCGTAGCTAGATCTTGCTGTCAGTAGAGGTACTTCAAGTCAAGGATCCCAGGAATAAATGTTTGTCAAGTGAGTAAATAATGGATTACTGAATTATGTTTCCTGTGGGTCTGCATGAGAAGCATCAAACATGACAGAGATGGACCAGCTTTACATTTTTCCTCGCTCCTTGGCTCTAGAAGTGACAAGAGGTCTGTGATTTCCAGTCTCTACTGTTTATGTGGCAGCTTTTGACAAACCCTGGAAAATTCGATCCATCAAAGGTTTCAATGGTATCCAGTTTTGCCATGGTCCTAGCCTCGGTGTGGCCATTATTTCCCTTTTTCTCCTGAATCTCCCTTTATTTTCACCATTTAAACATTTATCTAGTATCTATCATCTGCAAGGCACAATGCTAAATATTAGAGATGCACAGATTAAAACATGGCCCTGCCCTCAGGCAGCTTTATTTTCTATTTATTTCCTCATTTCCTTCTGATTCTCAGTTCTCATCACTCCTATCCTATCTATTCCTATAGATCCTTGAAAACTTGTAGTAGTCATTCAGTCACTCAACAAGCATTGATTAAGCTCTTACTATTTACTAGGCACTGTGCCAAGTGCTAGAGAAACAAGGAAGGGCCAAAACATAGTCCTTGCCCTCAGGAAGCTCACATTCTAAAGGAGGAGCTCACATTATTGGTGATAACATTAGAGCCGGTATTGGGAACAGAGATACTACCAATTATTGCCAACTCTCCATGGTAGCCAACAGTTCTAACCTCCTCACCACAACAAATGCTCTCTCTGGGGATGTCAAGGAGGAATAAAATTAACTGAATTTTGCTTCCCTTCCATTCCCCATCCTAAAGTGGAGCTGCTCCAGTGTCCCCAAAAGGCTAGCAACAGAAGGGGGGGGGGTAAACAAAGGGCTTAGGCAATTGGAAAAGCCTGCTGGACCTGCTGAAACGTCTATGGTCCAGCCCTGAAAAGCAGCATGGACTCTACTAGGCTCTTGGATGAGGGGATCTGAGGCATTTCAACTCAAAACCTGGAGTTACCTACCCACATGGCTCATGTTGTCTCTCTCAGCAGCCACCAGAACCTTTGTGAAACAACAGTGGCAGCTGCTTGAAAGAGTTCCAGGTTCTAGCACGGCTGGTATTTTACCTGATCTCTCAGGGGCTCTGGGAGCAGTTGGTTGGGCCCATCTACGCTGCTTCCTCATGGATGCCTTTTAATCAGTACTGGCCTTCACTGGCCCATAGACTGATTCCTGACTAGTGGCAAGACTTTCCTGCATTTATGTTTTGTTTTTTGTCTCCCCAGCCATAGTTTCTGGAGAGTTAAGAACTTCATCTTGTGTTTTCCCTCCCCAGCCTCATACAGTGAGGAATCCAAAGAGGCAGGTGACCAGTGAGTGCTTCTGAGCCCGGTTTTTAGACAAGGTAGAGGTGTCTTTACCTTTCCTTCTATTCCTGAATCCATCTTTTTATGCTGATTGCCTGTGGGCCTTAGGACCACAGATGGATGGCTGGAAAAGGCCTTGCAGGCCACCTATCTAGTGTAAATCCCTCATTTTACAGATGAGACAACTGAAGGCCAGAGAAGGAGACTTGACCAAGATCACACAGATGGGAGGAGGTAAGGTAAAGATTTGAACAAAGACTGGTAGTTGAATCAAGGTCATCTGACTGTAAATCCAGTGTCCTTTCTGCTATAGTACAACACCTTGATTTGCATTAATTTCTCACAAATAGATCAAATGTCCCTTTCCTCCAAGATGTGCAAAACATCTCGTTGTTAGATAGTACTTTACCATTTGAAAGAAAGTGTGTTTGTATTATCTCATTCACTACCCAGTGAGGTAGGCAGTGAAAACCTGATTGGCCTCTTTTGGTAAACTGAGGCACAGAAAAATGAGTGGATATTATTACATGGCAGAGCCTGGATTCATGTGACTCCCAAGTAATTATGATAGCATTATTATAGCATGCTTCAGCCTATTCTCTGACTGCTGTCTACATCCCAGACAGTAAGAATATATTACTAACCCTTGTAACAGGTGACAGTTCTTTACTACTTTAAGCTATAGAAAGCATCTTTTCCTCACAATCACCCTGTCAGGTAGGCAATGAAAGGAGTTTTGCTAAGGAGGAAACCCAAGTTCAGAAACGTGGGTGGCTTTTCTGCCCCTACCAAGCCAGTGACTATTAGAACTGGGGTACAAACCCAGGTTTCAGTCATTAATCAGCATTATGTATATTTAAGTACCTACTATGCGCCAGGCAGTGTGCTAGACTCTGGTGATAGAAACACAGAAGTTACACGGTTAAAGGCCAGCATTCTTCTAACTCTACAAAATTTCCCTTTGGAGCTGCTTGTAACAAAGGAGCTGTGTAAGTCTGAGGTCAGGGGATCATAGCTCTTCAAGGTGACAGGGACTTCTAGTAGGTCATTGAATCCAACTTCCTCAATTAAAGAAACTGAGGCCCAGAAAGATTAAATGATTTACCCAAGGTCACACAGCTAGAAAGATTCAATCACAGGGCTCTCTTACTCCAAGGCAAATACTCTCTCCACTACACCACACCTGTCTATGTTGATGTTAACATTTGTATTGTGTTTTTCTCCAGTGATGACTATGCCAGATCAAAACAACTGGTTAAATGAGGAGTGGGGTGTATGAAAAGGAACTTGGACTAATTCTTTACCATCATCCCTTTTCATGATCCTCCAACTTTGATTCCCTTTCTCCCAATCTCACTGAACACTTTGAGCTTTCAGAAATATTAAGGATAGGAAATAAAATGAGGAGGGTAGCAGAGCAATTGACTCTAAGTTACACTGGTTCAAAATGGAAGGAAAGTACAGTGAAAGCTTCCAAATCACTTTCCCCTACTATTTCTTCCATCTAATGCATCAGAGGTCCTGTGGTATTCTCTATTTTACCAGAAAAAAAAAATCCAATCAAGGCAATGTCTCCATAGGTAAGTGAAAAAGAATCGGTTTCAATCTATTCTGAAATTACCATCATTTATCACAATTGTACCAAGGAGGAAAATTCCTATCTATTAGGAAGGTAGCTTGATTCAATGAAATATAGGATTTGGCATAATTGGAACTCGGTTTGAATCCTGGGTCTTCTAATTATTGTTGCTCATTTGTTTTTCAGTCATGTCTGACTCTTCATGACCCTATTTGGGGTTTTCTTGGCAAAGATACTGGGGTCGTTTGCCATTTCCTTCTCCAGCTCATTTTACAGATGAGGAAACTGAGGCCAACAGGGTTAAGTGACTTCCCAAGGTCACACAGATAGTAAGTGTCTGAGGCCAGAGATCTAAACCCAGAAAGATGAGTCTACCTGCCTCCAGGCCTGGCAGTTTATCCTCTGCACCACCTGGCTGCCAGTGTGATTTGGGAAAATAATTTCACTTCTGTGAGCCTCACTGACTTTATCCACAAATGAAACCATTGCAAAAAATCTTTAAACGGAGCATACCCTTTGACCCAGTGATGCTACTACTGGGCATATGATACTAATAGCTACAGCCAAGTGGAGCAGTGGAGAAAGCGTGAGGCTTGGGAATCAAGAACACCTGAGTTCAGTCTGACCTAAAGCGTTTGCCAGTTGTGTGATCCTGGACAGGTCACTTAACCTTGCTTGCCTCAGTTTCCTCATCTGTAAAATGAGCTACAGAAGGAAATGGCAAACCACTCCACTATCTTTGCCAAGAAAACCCAAAAAGGCATTGAAGAGTTGGATATGACTGAACAACACTAATAGCTAACATTTATATATAGCTTTTAGGTTTGCAAAGCACTTTATATATGTTAACTCATTTGATTCTCAAAATAATCCTGTGAGGTAGGTGCTATTATTATTCCCGCTTTATAGATGAAGAAACTGAGGCAGACAGAGGTTAAATGATTTGTTCTGGCTCTTATAGCTAATAAGTATATGAGGCAGGATTAAACTTGGGTCTTCCTGACTTCAAGTCCTTTCTTCTATATACTATACCACCTAGCTGCCTATACCAAAGAGGTCAAAAACGGAGGAAAAGAACTCATATTGACAAAAATATTTATAAGCAGTATTTTTTATTATAGCAGCTGGAAGCAAAGTGGGTACCTATTAATTAACAGCTGAACAATTACGGCATACGATAGTAGAATATCGTACCATAAGAAATGATAAATGTGAAGGATTCTGAGAAACCCGAGACTTCATGAACTGGTGCAGAATAAAATGAACTTTGTTATAGACTGACTACAATAACACAAAGAGAAATAACTGTGACAACTCACTCTGATAAATGCAATGACCAGCCAGGGCTTCAGAAGGCTGATGATGAAGCATGAGAGAGATGGTAGACTGCAGATGTAGATCAGAAATGGGCATCATGGGGATGTGTTTCGCACAACTCTCGTCACAAGGGAGGGCTTCTATTTGGTGGGTAATGATCAGGTAGATTTTCCCAACCCCTTAGTTCTAGTGCCTTCCCTCTATTCATGATTTCCTATTTACCTTACGTAGCATTTGTTCATACTTATTTTTTGCTTGTTGTCTCCATTAGCCTGTGAGCTCCTTGAGGAAAATGGCTCTTTTTTTTTTGGTGCCTCTTTTTGTACCCCCAGTGCTTAGCACAATGACTGGCATGCAGTAGATGCTTAATATTTGTTGACTGATTGCTAATGATAAGAATTACATAATACAATTAGAAGGATCCAGAACTGATTGGATGGTTGAACTCAAAAAAGTAATTGCTAGTGATTGTTCAGTGTCAGCATTGGCAAGAGGTGTCCAGAGAAGTACTCCAAAGATCTGTTTGTGGCCCTGTACTGTTTAACATTTTTTCAATGACTTGGATAACATCCTATGGAAGGTGTGCCCACTGAATCTGCAGATGCCACAAAGCTGGGAGGGATCCCTAACACACTGGGTAAATGACTCATGAACTAAAAGGATCTTGATAGGTGGTATAGCATTGGGCTGTATCTAATAAGATGACATTCAATAGAGATAAATGTAAAGTCTTACGCTTGGGCCCAAACAATTATTTTCACAAGTATAATATGGGGAAGACATAGATAGATGACAGTTCTGAAAAATATTTGGGGTTTTAGTGGACTGCCAGCTCACTATGAGCCAGCATTGTGACGTCGCAGCCAAAAACCTAATGAAATCTTGGGCTGAATTAAGAGGGATTTGGCTTCCAGAAATAGAGAAGTGGTAATCCCACTGTATTCTGCCCCCATCAGCCCTAATCTGGAGTGCTGCTGATTCAACTCTAGTGAAGGGCCTTGAGTTCATGTCGTATAATGATAGGTTGAAGGAACTGGGCATGTTTAGTCTGGAGAAAAGAAGTCTCAGGGGGCACCTGATAGCTGCTTGCAAGTGACTGAAGGATTATCTTGTGCACGAAGGTTTGGACTTACTCAGTTTAGCCCCAGATGACAGAACCTGGAACAAAGGGTAGAAGTGACAAAGAAACCAATTTTGGCTTTAGGTTGGGAAAACCTTCTTCATAATGAGAGCTGTGCAAAAGTGGAAAGAGGCTGCCTCCAAAGTGGTGGACTCCTCCACCTTGGGTACCTTGAAGCCAAAGTTGGACAACTGCTTGGTGTGTATGTGAGAGTGACGATTTCTTTGGCTCACAGGTTGGTCTAGATGGCCTTTCCAATGCTCAAATCCTGTGATTCTGTTAATTCCAAGAGAGAATAAAAGAAAACAGAGTCAATGAAACATTAAAAAAAGTCAGAAGAGAGCAGAAAAAGTTCAGAAGGAGACATGAAGAGGGAAATTTTGTTACTATGATATTAAATTTAATATACTCCTTGATAAAGTGTGTGTAATAGAACTCCAAAGTTACCTACAAAATTCTATTTTCTGTTCTTGTTTGTATATTGAAATATTAATTGGTTATGGAGTTCATAATAAAAGTGAAAATTCTAAAAAAATAAAATGAAGGGTAGGACCTCATTGATCCCTTCCAGCACTGAATCTATGATCCTATAACAACCAAAAGATACTATAGGAAACAAAATGGATGGACTTGTTTACATACATATATTGGGTTTTTGTAC